CTTTTTCCCTACAAGAGAATTAAATGTTTAGTTCAAGGTGTCACAGAAGCAAAGCAGATCTAATGAGCACTGATATCAATCTCAGGTTGAGCTACTGAACACATGATTTGAACCTAGGGTCCTGCGGTTTTCTGCCACTTGCATAACACCTATATATTCCTGGATGTGTGGACCTCTGCTGGAGCATAGTCAATTTATTAGTAACAACGCTCCTGAAACTGACACTCATTCTCCCAACAGTCACCAATAGCCCATAGCCCCTTGACTAGGGATGGGACCTCATGTCCACCTCCACTCTCCATGATGACATTTGGTCATGCTTGAACTTGCACCATTCTTGAGCTTGCTATCTCAACCTCCTGTGAAGTTCATTTTTCACCTGCCCTCAGTGTACAGAAGACAGCTTTCTTATAGATATCCATAGCCTCTTTTTGCAATCTCTTCTTCCATATCTTTCACAATGATACTGAACATTTGGAGAAGGATTTGAGATGTGAACATCTCATTTAGTGCCATAATTCTATAGTCTCTTCATCTCCACAACTTGCCCAGTTGTTGGTATCTGTATTAATTACCATCTGTCACAAATGTAGATTCCTCTGGTGAGAGTTGAGAAATATATTCATATATGGATATAATCATAATTCATTAGTTCATTTAATACTGTTTATATTGAGCAGGATATTATTAGTGGGTTCTCCATCAAGACTCTCGTCCTAAAGCAATATTATACCAATTATCCATCAATCGATAAATACTATGCAATCTGTCAAAATGGGGATACTAAGATTTACCTGTTATTTGGTTCACATCTTCCTCCAGATACCCACAGGAACCTTCATATGCTGATTGGACTGTCAGTGACCATGATCCTTGTCTTCCTCATCATCCTCCTTTTTTCTTTTTGCTTTGCCAAAAAGAGTAAGTCTCAGGAACAAGCCAGTGAAAGTCATCTGAGTAGTGTGAGAAAACAAGAGCAGAGAAATAGAGGTGTGTATTCTTAATTTATATAAAAATACTTTGACCAAGACAGGGAAACTATGGCAGAGCTTTCTAGAGAAAATCCATAGCCCTTGTTCTTCCCCACAGTTTTCAGACAATGAATAATTCCTCAATGCATCTTCTGCATCTTCACATCCAAAGCATGCACTAATATCAAGGAGAAGGTTTAACGAGAGAGAGAGAGGAGAGAGAGAGAGAGAGAGAGAGAGAGAGAGAGAGAGAGAGAGAAGCAGGGAGAGAAGGAGAAAGCAAAGGGAGGGGAGGAGGAGGGCAGAGAGTATGTGCTGAAGAAAGAATTTCTAGGGTTCAGCATTGTAGAATGGGGCTGTGAACATAAAGCAGCAGAAAATCTGGTTCTAATTTGCAGTGGTTGAGCAACCTTGGGTTTTAACATATCTCCCATATCTCTCACTAGTAATTCTGATTTGAAATGAGAGTGCAGAAGTACTTTATTGTGTGTGTTTGATTACTTCTGTCCCCCAAAAATGCAGCCATCATGGACCAAGACTCTGACGTGAGAACAATACTGAACAGTCAGGTAATGTCCTGAGTCTGCCTCTTCCATACAGTCTAATATTCTTCATTCTCTGCAAGAATGTGTGCACACAACATCACTTGACGTTTACCTCTTTCTAGGACCCTGAAAGAGAAGAAGTGCAGGAGGTGACATACTTAAAATTTGATCAGATGATCTTCAAACAAAAATTGACCACTCCCAATTCCCAGATTCCCAAGGAATTTTCCACAGATCCCAGTGTGTACATGGAAGTCAGGAAATGTTACGCTGAGATGAAAGATCTTCTTCATCCCATGAGTTCTCAAAGAAAGATCTGAGGAAGTCTTCTGTGGAGACCACAGTCCTATCTCCAGTAAAGACTAGTACATACAGTGAAACAACAGCTGGAATGTGAAGACAGAGGTCTCTAACTTTGGGACCATGCTTCATTATTGTAATATGGTTCTGAACGTGGCTTTCCTTTACTTACAAAGGTTATAGTCCTCACTACCCACTCAACAGAAATGAAAATCTTTTGCTTAGTTCATGGGTCTCTATTTCATTTCACTTTGACAGACCTCTACAACCTTACTAGCTGTAAGTTCTTGATGGACATGAAGCTGTAACCACATTGAGTTCTCATGATTGCAGATCAACAAGAGGCTCACTCTTTATTAGTGTATGTTACTAATATGTAATCATGTTATACAACATAATGGTTTTCAAAACAATTTAATATATATATATATGAATATGAATATTCAAACTATATATATATATATATATATATATATATATATATAATATTCACACTCAATTACCCAAACTTGTCTTTCTAACTCTCCTGCTGACATCATTCTGAAAGCCTACTCTTAACATTGGGTTTTATCATTTGCTGTACTGTGCACCCCAAATGCTGTGTGTCAAAGTCTTTTCTCACCAGAACCAGCCTCATATTTCTCTAATATTTCAATGTATACATCCCCAGTAAGGTGTTGTTGAAGTAAGCACCTGATTCTCTTATTTTTTCAATTACCTTCCTGTTGAAAAGTTAGTTCGTCATAATTGGAACATTGCCTTTTGGAAGAGAAATAATTAAGTCACGAAAACTAACCTAAACTTCAAAAGATCCAGGAAGATGCTGAAACATACATAATTCACAAGGGTCCTCCCTAATTTCATATGAGTAAAAACAAAAGCAGAGGAGACCCTTCAGTTAACCAAGCTGCACAATATGCAGGGAACCCCAGGGATGCAGGTTTCCTTTATCTTCACCCATGCTGACACTGGCTTTTTTAGGTGAACCAAATTTCATGTCACCCATGCACCCGTAAGTATCTCCTTATACATTGGAATGGTTAATGTTACATTGATGGCTAACTATATGTTTAAAAGTTTAAAATTTCTGTGATTAAGATAACTAGATATCAAAATTGAATTTGCAAATGTTAAAGTGATTGTATTTATTCTGCTTAGTGATTATTTTTGTCATTGCCTGGTATTATATAAATTTAACAATTCCTTTTCTGTTTCTGCAAATAAAAGCTTTCTTTGTACCAGATGACATTCTGTTTACATATAGACAGAATGTTTACTTTAGGTACTTGGCCTTTAAAAATCACCTGACTGAGGTGTCTGGGTGCTTCTTGATCTCTGGGATTCCTAGTACAGTGTGGCCTTCAGTATAGTAGAAATAATCTGACAAAGATGTGGTCTGGAATTTGGAGCTCAGGGGAGAGTGTGCAGTTGGGAGCTGTTGTATCAGCTTCAGGGAATCTTAGCTGGCAGTGAGTAGTGTCTTACCCTGGGTTCCTAGATCCAGCCTTGCCTTAGGTAAACAGAAGGCTTCTTCTGAAGTTGTGGGGTAGAGTATGAAGCCAAGAAGAGGGGATACTCTTTGGGGCTGTCAGTTGGACTTTAAGAGATGTTAGTGTCAGTAGGCAATGTCTTACTTTGGGTCCCTGGAACTATACAGGCCTCCAGTAAAGCAGAAGTCTTCTGTCAAAGTTATAGGTTAGAAAATAGAGCCTGGGGCAGAGGGTGCATTCTGAAGTGGTTGGGAAGGATTTAAGGTGTATTAGTGGGCAGTGGGTGGTGTCTTACCTTGGATTATTAGAAACAGCCTGGCTTCTGATAAAACAGGCAGAGCTGTAGCAATCTCAGGGATCAACACATTGACCTATAATCATCCAAATATGACATGCCTAAATACCAGTGTAAGAACATGATCAACAACAGAAAGGACATGGCACCACCAGAGCCCAGCTATCCTACTACAGCAAGAACATTCCAACCCACATGAAGCAAAGGAAATGATCTTAAAATGAACTTTATGAAGATGATAGTGGTCCCTAAAGAGGAAATTTTAAAAATACCTTAAGGAAATTGAAGAAAAGACAAATAAAACATAGGCACAAATAAATAAATCTCGTAACTAATGCCAAAAAAAGCTAATAGAAAAATGGATAGGTAAAGGAAACTCTTCAAGACATGAAAATGGAAATAGAAACAATAAAGAAAACATAAAAGGAGGGACTTCTGGAAATGGAAAATCTGGGTAAGTAAACAGGAACTACAGATGCAAACACCAACAGAATATATGAAATAGTAGAGAAAATCACAGGCATGGATGATATCTTGGAGGGAGGAAGATGAATTGGTCAAAGAAAATGTTAATTCTAAAACATTCTAAACACAAAACATCCAGGAAATCTGGGACATTATGAAAAGGCCAAACCTATGAGTAAGAGGAATATAAGAAGAAGAATCCCAGCTCAAAGAAGCAGAAAATATACTCAACAAAATCATAGAAGAAAATTTTCCCAGCCTAAGAACAACATGCCTATGAGGAACAAGAAGTTTATAGAACACCAAAGAGATAGGACCAGAAAAAATATCTCCACACCATATAATAATCAAAACTATAACATATATGCAGAGGACCTGGATCAGTGCCATGCAAGCTCTCTGGTTGTGAGTTCAGGCTCTACAAGTCTCTCTGTGTCCAGTTTAGTTCATATTGTGGGCTTTCTTGTGGTGTCCTTTAGCCCTCTTATTCCCACAATTCTTCCTCCCCTTCTGCAACAGGATTCCCTGAGATCTGCCTTTTTTTAGTTGGGATTGAAGACTTAACAGTTAGTTACAATCTTCTATCTTAGCTAGAACATATTGAGTATTAGATTCAGGTTCTTAAGTATTGGGCACCTTTTAGAATGATCTCTGTAACATGCCATCTACCCATGCTCCAGACTTCTCTGGATTTTAGTATGTGTCCCTTGTTTGATATTGTTTGTGTTGGTTGTAGTTCCATCTTGTCTAGGTCATTATTCCTTATTACTCATGGACAATATTTGATAATCATTCCTATTGTATATAGTTTTGTATTAGGTTAGAACTTTCTTATTTAGACAAAAGGGAGAGATGCAGTGGGTAGCTGTTCCAGCTTTGACCTGGAAGTACTACCCCCATTGAGACTTCTGGTAACTGTCACACCTATGAGGCTGGGCTGAGACAGGAGCCCTTAAGACCTGAGATCCAGATGTGCCAGTGCTCTTGGTTCCTGGATCCTAGATGCTGGAGGTAGACCAAGCAGAGTTCTCCAGAGAAGATCATTGGACTGCACTACACCTTTCCCCAACCCTGTAACCTATCCCTTTGCTTGTAAGTTACCCAACAAAATAAACCTCCCTTTTAACTACATAGAGTTGCCTTAATACTTCTACCAATACACCTGTATTTATTCTTGCAGTGTTCACAGTAGCCAAGATAGGGAACCAGGATAGATGCCTATCAGCACATGAGTGTGTTAAGAAATGCTGTTCATGCATCTCAAATGGATTTTTATGCAGCCATAAAGAATAGAGCTATGCCATATGCAGGAAAATGTATAGTACTGTGGGTCCTCAAGTTAAATAAGTTAAGACAGTAAAGATAAATCTGATATTTTCTTTTATAGGCATAATCTTGATATAAATATGAATGTGTGTGTGACATGAAATGTGTGTTTTCTCATGGTGAAATTAGACAGTCTGTCCTTATGTGTTAGTGGTGTAAAATCAGAAGAACTCAGGAAATGTTTTGGGATTAGGCAGCAGAAAACTGAGGTGCAAAAGAAAAACTGAAAAGACATTAGAGGGAGGAGACAAGAACAGAGTACAGTATGTACTATGAAAATATCATGATACCATTATTTTGTACGCTAAAAAAAACCCTTAATTTCAAAAAAGAAAAATTCATATGTATAAAACATACACAAGCCTCTAGAACGTAAGCCCTGGGACACAGCCAGTCTCCAGGAATCCCCACCCAACACTGCCCCTGTTGCTGGCCAAAAGGGAAAACTCTTATGGGCAGGCTCCTCCACCAAAACCACCCTTTGGACCCAGCAAACTACAAGACCCACACCCTAACCCAATACTCATGGCCCTGCGACATCAGGGGCTTATGAGACACAAAATCTGCCAGCTTTGACTGTAACAAGGGCCCTGATAAGACCAAGAGTGACTCTCTGAGCTACAGAATCAGTTAGCTTAAATTGGACCAAGAGAAGCTCCCTGAGATACAGAATCTGCTAACTTCAATTAGACCAAGAGGTAAGATTGGACCCAGAGGGGTCCCTGAGACACAGAAACAGCAAGCACAGATTGGACAAATAGCAGCTCACTTAGACACAGGCACCTCTTGCACCTATTGGGGGAAAAATTGGTAGAAGCCAATGCAAAAATACATACAACAACATATAGAGCAATATGGCATCACCAGAACCTAGCCCTTCTACAACAGCAATACCTGAACATCACAATGTAAAAGACGCAGAAGAAAGCAACCTTAAAAAGAATTCCATGAAGATGTAAGAGGATTTAAAGAAGAAATGAAATATTCCTGTAGCATGAATCTTAAAAGTTCTTATTAATAAAGAACAAACTTAAGGCCAGTTATTGGGGTGAACCTGGAAGATCAGAGAGATAGAACAAGCCACAGCTAACCTCACCTGGCCAACTTCTCAGCTGGTCTTGTTTCCTCAGACTGGAAGCCTCTGAGTCCTCATATCCGAATGGCTCTCAGCTGAACTGT